TTGTCTGTTGCGTGGTTGTTTGTGTTGTAGTTTTCTGCGTTGTGGTTGTATGTGTTGAAGTTGCTTGTGTTATGGATGTCTGTGTCATGGTTGTCTGTGTTGTAGTTGTCTATGTTATGGTTGTCTGTGTCATGGTTGTCTGTGTTATGGTTGTCTGTTGCGTAGTTGTCTGTGTTGTAATTTTTCTGTGTTGTAGTTGTCTATGTTATGGTTGTCTGTGTTGTGGATGTCTTTGTTGTGGTTGTCTGTTGCATGGTTGTCTGTCTTGTAGTTTTCTGTGTTGTGGCTGTATGTGTTGAAGTTGTCTGTACTGTGTTTGTCTGTATTGTAGTTTTCTGTGTTGTAGTTATCTGTGTTGTAGTTTTCTGTGTTGTAGTTGTCTGTGTTGTAGTTGTCTGTGTTGTAGTTGTCTATGTTATGGTTGTCTGTGTCATGGTTGTCTGTGATGTGGTTGTCTGTTGCGTGGTTGTCTGTGTTGTAGTTTTCTGTGTTGTGGCTGTATGTGTTGAAGTTGCTTGTGTTATGGATGTCTGTGTCATGGTTGTCTGTGATGTGGTTGTCTGTTGCGTGGTTGTCTGTGTTGTAGTTTTCTTCGTTATGGCTGTATGTGTTGAAGTTGTTTGTGTTATGGATGTCTGTGTCATGGTTGTCTGTGTTGTAGTTTTCTGTGTTGTTGCTGTATGTGTTGAAGTTGTCTGTACTGTGTTTGTCTGTGTTGTAGTTGTCTGTGTTGTAGTTGTCTGTGTTATAGTTATCTGTGTCATGGTTGTCTGTGTTGTGGTTGTCTATGTTGTAGTTGTCTGTGTTGTAGTTGTCTGTGTTGTAGTTATCTGTGTTGTAGTTGGTTTTGTTGTGGTTGCCTGTGTTGTAGTTATCTGTGTTGTGGTTGTACGTGTTGTAGTTGTCTCTGTTATGGTTGTCTATGTTGTAGTTATCTGTGTTGTGGTTGTACGTGTTGTAGTTGTCTCTGTTATGGTTGTCTATGCTGTGGTTGTCTGTTGCGTGGGTGTCTGTGGTGTGATTGTCTGTGGTGTAGGTATTTTGGGAGAAAGTGGAGAAATGCACTCTATGTTGTGGTTGGCTGTGTTGTAGTTGTCTGGTAGTTGTCTGTGTTTTAGTTGTCTGTGTTATATTTGTCTATGTTATGGTTGTCTTTGTTATGGTTGTCTGTGCTGTAGTTGTCTGTGTTATATTTGTCTATGTTATCGTTGTCTGTGTTGTAATTGTCTATGTTGTAGTTATCTGCGTTGTAGTTGTCTATGGTGGAGTTGTCTGTGTTGTATTTGTCTATGTTATCGTTGTCTGTGTTGTAATTGTCTATGTTGTAGTTATCTGCGTTGTAGTTGTCTATGGTGGAGTTGTCTGTGTTGTCGTTGTCTGTTGCGTGGTTGTTTGTGTTGTAATTGTCTGTAATGTGTTTGTCTGTGTTGTAGTTATCTGCGTTGTAGTTGTCTATGTTATGGCTGTCTATGTTATGGTTGGCTGTGTCATGGTTGTCTGTTTTGTGGTTGTCTATGCTATGTTATGGTTGTCTTTGTTATGGTTGTCTGTGTTTTGGTTGTCTGTTGCACGGTTGTCTGTGTTGTCGTTGTCTATGTTGTATTTATCTGTGTTGTATTTGTCTATGTTATGGGTGTCTATGTTGTGGTTGGCTGTGTTGTGGTTGTCAGTGTTGTAGTTGTCTCTGTTATGGTTGTCTATGTTTTGGTTGTCTGTGTTTTAGTTGTCTGTGTTGTCGTTGTCTGTTGCGTGGGTGTCTGTGGTGTGATTGTCTGTGGTGTAGGTATTTTGGGAGAAAGTGGAGAAATGCACTCTATGTTGTGGTTGGCTGTGTTGTGGTTGTCAGTGTTGTAGTTGTCTGGGTTGTAGTTTTCTGTGTTGTTGCTGTATGTGTTGAAGTTGTCTGTACTGTGATTGTCTGTGTTGTAATTCTCTGTGTTGTAGTTGACTGGGTTGTAGTTGGTTTTGTTGTGGTTGCCTGTGTTGTAGTTATCTGTGTTGTAGTTAACTGTGTTGTAGTTGTGTGTGTTATAGTTATCTGTGTCATGGTTGTCTGTACTATGGTTGTCTGGGTTGTAGTTATCTATGTTGTGGTTGTCTGTGTTGTAGTTGTCTATGTTATGGTTGTCTGTGTTATGGTTGTCTGTGTTGTAGTTATCTGTGTTGTAGTTGTCTATGTTATGGTTGTCTATGTTATGGTTGTCTGTGTTGTAGTTTTCTGTGTTGTAGTTGTCTGTGTTGTAGTTGTCTGTGTTGTATTTGTCTGTGTTATATTTGTCTATGTTATCGTTGTCTGTGTTGTGGTTGTCTGTTGCGTGGTTGTCTGTGTTGTAGTTGTCTATTTTGTAGTTGTATGTTTTGTAATTGTCTGTGTTGTAGTTGTCTATGTTGTTGTTGTCTGTGGTGTAGGTATTTTGGGAGAAAGTGGAGAAATGCACTCCACAGAGTACCAAGAACAGCTTCTAAATATACAGAGAGAATAATATTTACCTCTCATACACCTGACAGCAATCACCATCGGCAGTCATTGGCTCTCTACCAGTAAGTGCAGCAGCTAAAATATGAAAAGAAACGTTAAGGGTGACTTTTTTTGTTTCAGCACTGGACATAGATAAGAGTGTCAATGAATCAAGATTTTTTTTATGTATAAAGGTTTCACAATCAAAACCTAAATAACACACTCAGGGCAATCCATGTATTTTGTCCTACTGTCGTCGTGGTGGGGTGTTTGCAGTGGTGGTGGTGGTGGTGGTGGTGAAGGTGTAAATCGTGATAGCGGCGGTGGAGACATCCATCGTGATGGCGGCGGTGGAGGGTATTCATCATGTCACGACGTCTCTAGCAGCGTTGATTTTGAAGTAGCCAGGATATTCAGCATAAATGATGCAAGGCACTGCCTCTGTCAATGCAGTGCCAAAAGCGACCTCCAATCTGACGCTACATTGTTTCAACAAGGTAAGATATTGCGAGTCGACAAATCGAGGTTCTAAGTCGAGTACATACAACACATATCCTTGACCAATATCGCCTCTCTCTAGATCAGAGCCTGCATAATTTAGTCATTTCCCCGTCGATTGTAACACGCATCTCAGGACGGATATAGACTGTCCTCCGGTCGTACACTATTTCAGTTTTAAAACGTTTCCTCCGACGGGTATTCCATCGACATACATGCCAACGGAAGTGACGTCTTATCCCTGTTAATACCTTGAACGATGTTATCGTAGGTGAAACTCGTTGGCATTTTGTTTGATTAAGGTCTGCGTGAAAGGGTATTTCGCATTGCTTACCTCTCACGCTTTACTTTGTGCATAGATGACAGCTGGATTAATCTTCACCTTGCTCACTAGACGTCGAACGTCTAAAAACGACACTTACTAATATGTCAATGCTGTACCAGACATTAGACAGAAACTCGGTTTAGATCTATTCATTTTAAATTAACGTTGACTTGATTCAATAAATATCTATCCGTTTTGAATATATCATGATACAGCGGCCCGACCATATCTATCCCATTTCCACCTTCAATTCTTTTTGCTTTTTTTGAGAAGGGACGTATTCGATTTTGTTCAGGGGCTATGCTCATGCTTTCCCCCCTCATCGTCCTGCTTTCATAGCTACGTTAAAAGTTGCGAGGTTTTTGCTCCCTGTCCATATTTCAGCAGACTCTGAATATATGCTTTGTATAGGTAATAACTCGTGGACACGACCGACTTCCCCTATAGACTAATGTCTACTTGTGAGAATAGGGAAGGTAAAAACAAATTGATTGGTCCTACATCCTCTGCATCAGCTATGGCGCTTCCGTCTGCTTTGGTAATTTTGACTTTTGCAAAAATTAGACTGTTTTGCAAACCTAGGAGCTGTAGGCCGTTTTGTCCAGACAAGTGAATCACTCGTTATTTCGGAAATCGGTAGCACGTCCCGATGATAAATGTTTTCTACTGCCGTTTGTGTTGGTGGTAAATCTAATAAAGCCAATTCCGACGGTTGTGCCTCTCGGGAAAACAATCCTTGTTCAATTCAGCCATTGCAAAATCGGATTATTTGTCCTTTTATGTTAAGGTTTGTTTCTTTTGGATAATTTTTAGTTGATTTCTCCTTTAATTTTGTTTTTGGTATCTTCTTTGTCTTTCTTGTAGATTTGCGATAATTGTATTGTAATTATTTCTTTCGTGTTGTCGGTTTCTACGATTTTTTTTCATATGCGTGTTTCTACGGTTTGTGGAGTTGTGAACGAAACGACGCTTGGTATTCAACTGACGAGTTGGAGGGGTACGATCCCTCTTTAGTAAAGACTAAGCTTGTTCAACTACCTGCATTGCTGGAGAGACCATTTCGAAACTCACACCACCTTCTGATAAAGATTCCTCACTATCACGATTGGTTTTTCTATGGGAATCATAAATTCCCGTGAAGTTGGTGATAGCCCGTCGCCTCGTTAAGACACTGCACGTTTAGTATTTTCTCCGTAAAGGACTTCTCTTCCATGTACGACATCTTGATGATATTTCACCCATTTTCCTACGTTCGGAACGTACATATTGTTGTAAGTTTTTCAGTCAGCAGTCGACAAATATCGCGTAAGTGATGATTTTCGGAGCAAGCTCTTAAATACAACATTATATACGACATGTAAGTTACACCATTAATTGGGCAAACAGGGATGTTACTATCAAGAAATGGAGATGATATTAATAATTCTTTCTGATATAATTATTGCAGTTAGCTAAAATAAACCTTAGGATAACATTACATGGCGATACCTGTTTAGGTTCCTGACACAAAAAGGGAGCCAAATTGGCAAGATTATTTTTGGGAAGAGTTCCATTAAATTTAGAAATTGTTCTGAAGAATAATCGAGACCAGAAAGGTTAAGTATCATTTAACGATCAAACATGAAACGTTAAACTGTTGGAAGTATTTCATAATGTCTTATTCTCTTATTTTAGAGTTATTCCCCCTCGAACGTGATTTCAGTCTGTATCTCTGTGCAACTGCCTTTTTATATAACAAATGTTTACCATTTCTTGTTTCGTTAACCCAAGCAATTTCCTTTACGTAACCCATTTTCATTTCTAAATATACTTTTTGGCTCACAACAAGTAAAACAATAAAAAGATATTTCATTTAAAAAATCACATACTCAGTTTTTCACGTATAGTCTTACTATTCTCGGCTATTATTCTCATTCAAGTTGGCCACCATTCTTTTCAAAAAAGGGTGTCCAGAGAGTCCAGCGAATCCAGAGAGTTGGTTCAGATGGTCCAGAGACTTCTGATGTTAGGAAATATGTTAGAACCAGATTCAATAGAGATTTTAGATAAAATATCACAATACCTCGTATCGAAAAGCCCTGCACGATGTTTAATTTCACATTTGTTTCTGTAGAAGAAAAGAAAAACAATTGTCAAGAAGATTGTCAAGAGGAGAGAGCATATACGTCTATTTTTCGTAGTTATCTTCATGATGATGTAGACGGATGAATGTTTTATATATGCTATAATTTTCTTAGCATCGAAAGTGCTTTTTTTTATTGAGAACCGAAGGTATGTTCCTGAGAAAACGAAAGTGTTTTTGTTTTTTTTGTATTGAAAAGCAAGAGTATTTTTCCGAGAAAACGATATTTGATTTGATTGAAAATTTATTGCATAAACATCTTTCACCATACCTTTTCTTGTAAAGCATCTTAGAGGTGCTTCACAGAGTCCATATCGCAACCGTGAAGAAAGCTGCGATCCGTATTTTTTTTAAAGTTGACATCTCCGTGGGTTTTTTTTTTCTCTTCTGTTTTTTTTTTTTTTTTTTTTTTTTTTTTTTTTTTTTTTCGTAAGACAAATAAAGGCTCTGGTCAAATGTCGGGAATCACGGCATCTAAAATGTGTCATTTTACAATTCATAGCTATTATTTAGCTTTAATGGGCTAACGATTAAACACTGATGATCGTTCTGAACACGTCTTGTTATGAACTGGATAGAAATAAGATTTAGATACCTTAAAATCGTCGATCGATGAAGTTTTTGAATTCTGTTTGTTCAATAGTGTGACGTCATTAGAGTACAAACTTAAACAACAAGATATCCTGGACTACCTCCCTTTGACCGTAATTGATATCACTTCACTGACTAGTAGGATGCTTTGTCCATTTTGATTTTTTTACTTATTTTTAAATTTGATTTGAAAACAAAATTGGATTTTTAATCGATGTTTTGACAAAAAATTATATTTGTTTATCAAATTTTATCCTGAACGAGCCGATACGTGTGTATGGTGTTGTTTGGAGTTTTGTGTTGTCTTTATGTTGTTTTGGTATTTGATGTTTTGTGTTGATTTTTTTAGTAGGGTCTTATTAAAAACTAGACAAATGTCTAAATGTATTACCCTGTCTAAATAAAGGAATTCATTATAACCATTTTTTGGTGTTTGGTGTTGTTTTGGTGTTAAGTGTTGTTTTAACATTGTTGTCTTGGTTTAACCGTGTTGTTTTGGTGATTTTGGGGGGTTTCTGTTGTTTTTTTTACTGAAATCATTGTATTTTTCACCGCATTAAATGTATTTTTTATACATATTTCGTATTTGTAGTATTATTTCCATATATTTTATTTTTCAAAATAAAATTGAATGAAAAAATATTTTAACGAAAACAGATATTTTTATTCACATGTTCATGCTGAACGAGTCGATACGCATGTTATGTGTGGTTTGGTGTTGTTTTTGTGTTGTTTTGGTGTTTGGTGTGTTTTTTGTTGATTTTATTCAAATTATTCTATTTTCTATGAACAATTATGTATTTGTACATACAAATTTCATAGCTGTTGCATTTTTTAAAACAAAATTGAAGGAAAACATATAAATCGATATTTTAACGAAAAAATAGATAATTTTTCATCAAATGTTCATGCTGAACGAGCTGATACACGTGTATTGCGTTATTTGGTGTTGTTTTGGCATATAGTGCTGCTTTAGTGTTTGGTGTTGTTTTGTTTTGGTTTTGTTTGATGTTGTTTTTATGATGTTTTGATAAATCTCTAAATATGTTCCTCTGTCCAAATACAAGATGAGGCCGCGGTGGCCATGTGGTTAAGGCGTCTGACAATCTGCTACCACTAGCTCTCCACCACTGCGTCGGGTATTCGAGAGACCTACATAGGACAGTCGCCAGATACTGACCGTAGATCGGTGTTTTTTCACCGGGAACTCCGGCTTTCCTCAACTACCAAAACCTGGCATGTCCTGAAATGACCATAGCTGTTAATGGGACACAAACAAACCAAACTAAATACAAGAAAATATTGTTATTATTATTACGTTTTTGTGTGTTGTGTTGTTTCTGTTGTTAATGACCTATACATGTGCTGAATAGGGACCTGTACTTTACTTAACTGTGGAACTATACTCGTATTAACTGGGGTCTTGCATTTGTATTAACTGGGGACTCTCATTTGTATTTACTGGGGACTTACATTTGTATCAAATAGGGACTTACATTTGTATCAAATAGGGACTTACATTTGTATTAACTGGGGACTTACATTTGTATTAACTGGGGACTTACATTTGTATTAAGACATTGAGACCTTAAATGAATTGACTCAGGACCTTGGATTGGTTCAAATTGAGACATACACTTCTATTAAATAAAGAAGTACTCTTGATTTGCTCAAATTGTATTAACGAGAACAAATTTACTCGTAATGACGAAATAACAGATTCCATAATAGATATGGTATAAATTGACTTTCGTGGTCAAGACATTATTTGAAAAGAAAAAAAATCGACTTAGGAAA